GAGAGTGTTCCAGAGTTTTGGGGCATAGTGGCTGAAAATGTGACCTCCAATGGCCGGCGCCAGTTGAGCAGAGGTGGTGGATTGGGGAGTGAGGAGGTTGGAGAGGTAGGGAGGTGCCAGGGAGTGAATGGATTTGAACACGAGTGTGAGGGTATTGAAATCGATCCGTTCGGTGATGGGGAGCCAGTGGAGCCTGGTCAAAAATGGTGAGATGTTTGGTCCGGGTCAGTATGCGGGCGGCAGAATTTTGAATGAGCTGGATCTTGTGAGTAATGGAGCTGGGGAGACCGACGAGGAGTGCGTTGGAGTAATCCAGGCAGGAGGTGACAAACGCATGCACGAGGGTTTCGGTTGCATTTGGGTAAGATACGGTCAGAGGCGGGTAATGTGGCGGAGGTGGAGGAAGGCAGTCTTAATCAGGGACTGGATGTGGGGGAGGAAGGACAGTTGGGGGTCGAACTGGACGCCTAGCTTGCAAACTGATTTGGTGAGTCTGAGAAAGAGCTCAGGGGGGTTATGGAGTTCAGATCTGCAGCAGTGAAGATGTTGATGGGAGCCAAGGAGCATGGCTTCTGTCTTGTCCATATCAGCTGCAGGAAGTTTACACTAATCCAGGCCCTGATGACTGCCAGACAAGCTGATAAAACATCAGCAGTTGGTACTGGAAGAGGCAAAGTAGATTTGCGTGTCATCCACATACAAGTTTACCCTGTGTCTGCAGATGACTTTGCCCAGAGGGAGCATATAGATGAGGAAAAGTAGAGGGCCAAAGATGGAGCCCTGGGGTACCTCTCAGGTGATTGGGCGGGGACGGGAGGAGAAACCATTTATTGAGGTGAAATGGAAGGATTTTGTATTCAAATCCCTCCACTCCTCTGTACCCCCGTACCTCTCTGACCTCCTCTCTCCTCAAAACAGTACCCATTGCCTTCGATCCTCCGGGTCTGGCCTCTTCCTCATCCCCCAAGTCCTCCACTCCATCCTCAGTGGCCGTGCCTTCAGCCACTATGCCCCGAGGCTCTGGAATTCCCTTCCTCACTCCCTTCGCCTCGCCCCCTCTCTTCCTACTTTCAGATCCCTTCTGAAGACCTTTCTTTTCAACCGCGCCTTTGGTCACCTTCCTCCCCCTCCCCCTGACTCGGCCCCGTGATCCGTTACTGTGAAGCGTTCTGAGATGCCGTCAGGCATAGAGGGCGCTATATAAATCCAAGTAGCTGTTGCTGTTGTTGGAGGCGGTTGGTTAAGTAGGACTCAAACCATGCAAGTGGGGCCACACTAAGGTAGATGAGAGAGGAGAGCTGATGGAGGAGGATGGTGTGGTCAACTGTGCGAACACGGCAGAGAGATCCAGGAGGATGAGGAGGCGGGAGCCCTGTTCCTAGATAGAGAGAATATTGTTTGTGACTTTGACAAGTGCTGTCTCTGTGCTGTGCCCAGGTGAAAACCAAACTGCAGGGGCTCAAGGAGGGAGTGGAGGTAGAGGTGTGACTGGAGTTGATCTTCAACAATGTGTTCCAGGACTTTGGCAAGGAGGGGTAGGTTGAAGATGGGATGGTAGTGTGAGAGATTAGGGGGATCGAGGGGGGGTTTTTGAGGAGGGGTGTGATAACAGTGGTTTTCAGGGGGAGTGGAACAGAGCCTGAAGAGAGAGACTGGTTGACCATGTGGGCCAGCAGTGGGGAGAGAAGGGGGCGTCGAGTGATCAGCATCTGGGTGGGGAGGGGATCAAGGTAGCAGGTGGTGAACTTCATGCGGGTGATTGTGGTTGAGAGGGAGGAGAGAGAAATGGGGGCAAAGGAGTGTAAGGAGGGGCAGTGGCTGGAGCTGTGGCAGAGGAAGAAGGCGGTGCGGATAGTCTGGGTGGGGTGGAAGGGGACAGAGTTGGGGTGGGGGGGCTGGTGAGGGGGGAATGATGCAGCCAAGCAGATGTTTTCAATTTTTGAGGTGAAGAAGTCTAGAACCTCTTTGCACTTGGCGTTTGTTGGGAGGATAGAGTGAGCTTGATGGGGTGCACGGAGGAGTGATGGACGGTGGAAACAGCGTCTTTGGATTGTTGTTTGCCTCCAGGATGACTTTGGAGTAAAGGTCAGTTTTGGCCTGTGAAAGGGAGAGGCAGTACGTGCGGAGGCGCTCGAGCCACAGCTGGCAGTGAACGATCAGAGAACAGGGAGTTATAAATGGAACATGAAAGACCTTATCGTCTCAAATACTCAGGAGAGAAAGGTTATATCCATGGTTCAGGTTTGCATTACAAAGGAGCTTGATAAGCACATTTTCTTCATATTGCCTTCATATCAACTCAGCTCAAAAAAAAGTTCACAAATACACTTTTTTCAATAAATGAAACTTGCAACACGATGCAAGTTTTTTTATTCTATGAATAATTTTTTTATATAAATATACTAACACTAGGCCACGTCCATGTGTGCCTCTTCATTCCCCAACCACCCAACCAATACAATATGTCATTTTGTGCTCCACAATATATCCGGGCCTTACAGCACAGATGTAATTGCTTAAAACATATGTGGTTGCCACGTATAGCAAATAAAAATCCAACTTCTTTTCACTTTTGTCTATGTGATTTTTGGCAGATCCCATCGCTTCCAAATGTGAAACAGTGAGTAGGAAGCTGGAAATGGATTGCTCTGGACCACAACAATAAAACAACAGCTATGAAAATATCAGTGCAGGTTCTCAGCTTTATTTTGATGGCTCAAGTGTGGAGCAGTGGAGTCCGTGAACACATACTGTTTTCAAGTTAAACCTCCAAACTATAATAAACCATTTTTGGCTCTGATGCAAGGATCGTTTAAATTACAAAATATTTAAAAGGGTAATTAGAAAATGTTTCTTTGGTAGTTGGAATTTGGAATTCTCTGTCGCAAACTGTCGTTGAAGTAAATGGACTATTTTAAAGGGGGTTAGATAGATTGTTGAAAAAGTACAAATAAGTTTATGGGAAGTGAGCAAGAGTGTAAATTGACTGAGTTGTTCGTATCGAGAAATACACCAGTGCAAACCTGATGGATCAAATGACCAATTTCTGTGCTGTTTTATGATTATACAAGCTATCAGGTGTAAACGCTTAAATAGATGTGACCCCAATTTTACCATGGAGACCCCTCACCCAGGGTAGCATCCCAGAGTACTTAACCTTGGTGGAGCATGACGCTGAGCTGGGGTGAGATGACCATAGACACGATCGAAGAGGAAGGTCTTCAGGCTAACCTGAAAATGGGGAAGGAAGGGGCAAGGCAGAGGGATATAGGAAGGGTGTTCCAGAGTTTGGGGGAGTAGTGGCTGAAAGCATGGCCACTGATAATCGAACAAAGGGTTTGAGGGATAAGCAAGAGGTCAGAGCCAGTCAAGTGGAGGCAGCGGGTTGTGGATTCAGGGTAAGCAGGTCGGAGAACAGCGAGGAGAGCATTTGAATAGTCTACAAGTGGCTCCACGAGAATCCTAATGGAGGTCAGACAAAATACTGTGTTTTCTCTGTAAGCAAATAACTGTTGCTCAATATTTCTGCCCCTCTCAGCAGCGTGGTCACATCTGTGCAGTGGATTAAAGAGGTGCTATTGCTAGCGGTGCTATGCTCAAAGGGAACACTAAACAATGCCTGAGAAGTTATCCAACAAACAGTAAGAATGTAATGAACACCATGCGACCAGGGTACAGATGAAGCACAATAAATGAAAGAAGCCAGAAGTTACAGGGTTTTAGTCTATTCTAGAAAAAGCAATTACAGTTTCATTTTTGAAAAAGTGTGCCTTTCTCATTCTCCAATTCTTCCCAAGATTCTGAATCATTCAGCAATCTGCCAGGTTTTGGTGAGGCCAGAAATATTTGTGAGCCTGCGTATGGGAACTTTGTTTTTCTTCGTACCCCTCTCCTGAAGACTAATTCTCACTGAGGTGCAATCTCACAGGCAGGCCCTATGGCTCCTCACCCCAGTAGCCATTCACATTTAGAGCCTAGAGAGTGTTGGCAGTGACCACGAGCACCAGTCAGACCCAATCTCATCTTCAAGGGATAAACGCACGAGCACCCATCCTAGGGGGGCATCCACTGCATAGGAATCAGGAGTAGGATGTCAGGCTGATTATTTTTCCCTCCCTACCTCATGCACGGAGTCTAACTGTAAGGCACCCTGAAATTGTGTGCACATCTTGATGATGGGAGGGGTGTGGGGGCAGGGAGTGGGGTACTAAGCAACCCTTGTAACTGTGCGCTGCAAGGGGGGGGGAAGCCTTGGTCCCTCCACTAAAGTGGAGTGTGCAGAGGCCATCCCACCTTTCTCCCCCGCCCCACCCTCCCGGGTCTGTTGCGTCTGTAACGGGATAATAATGAGTTGCGGTTTTCTTTGTGTTGTGAGAATTGTTTGAGATGAGTGTAAATATAATATATTCTATCCACAAATAAATATATATTTTGTTTAAAAACAACTGTAGGGCCCAACTGTCTGTGTGACTGAGATCATTAACTCAGAGCGGAACAGGGATTTGAACATGGGTCCTTTAGAATCTGTGACTGTTTTTTTATGCTTGCATTTGATATAGCGCTTTTCACGTTGGGAGGACGTCCCAAAGCGCTTCACAGAACACACTGTAAAGTGAATTGACTGTATATTTGTGGGCGAATGCGGCAGCCAATTGCGCACAGCAATGTCCCACAAACAGTCGTAGATTGAAAATGACCAATTTATTATTGTTTTTGGTTTTGGAGGGATTATTATTAGGCTCTGTGTGGAGTAAGGAAACTTGCCCAAGGTTTCGCCCTCTGCCTGGAATTGAACTCAGGTCTCTCGCTTGCAAAGCGAGTGCTCTAACCACTGAGCTATAGGACTCCACAACTAGGTTATTTCACACGAGGTAACAGCTAGTTACAACTGTTTCACACTAGGTAACAGCTTTACCAACTGACAAGGGACATGCTTCAGAGCTATAGGCTGAAGTAAGTTGATTTAAAACTGAAAAAAAGCACAACAATCAACACAAATGTTTTTTTTAAACTATCATCCATTTATTGATAAACATTTGTTCTTTCCCGTTGATTACCAACACTATCATTGCTAATAACATAGCAATCAGACACAATAAATACATTTATCAAGCAATTGTCAATACCTTACACAAAATAGTTCACATTAGATCACTTTTGCCTTTTACAAATGAAGTACCGTACTGATAATTTGTAACCTGCATTGTTTACTCTAATCTTATTACAATGTCGCACTATAAACACCTACAAAGGAATGCAGAATTATTTCATCTAATCCATATGTCCTCAAACTAGCGAAACATTTGATCAAGGGTGACTGTTTGAGATTTCGTTGATCTGACACATCTGTCACATCCAGTTGACATTCATTTCAAGGCATGACCCATTGGGTGTTCCTTCCCCATTAGAATATGTGCCATGGACATTTAAATTAAAAGCAAAGAGGTAACTTCACAATCCATCAAAGGTCTTACGGTAATAGTACAGTACGATAACTGGGAGGTGAGAAAAGAAAATTTAACAAACAAGCAGGAAACCAGAGGAAGACAAGACAGACAATAATGACTTCTGTATTCTGTCACGTCATAAGTGGAATTGTCTGCACAGATACAATGGGCCAAATGGCCTCCTTTCTGTGCTGAAAATGTCTACATTTAAAATCAGACTCCCTTTTGGTGGTGTAAAAAAATCATTGAACTTGATAGTGCCTTTCACTTTGGGAGGATGTCTAAAAGCGCTTCACAGGATTTATTGTGAAGTGTAGTGACTATTGTTGTAGTTGAGCAATCCTTTCTTGTATAAATAATACATACAAATAAATAAGTTTTTTTTTAAAAAAAGTAGACTGTGTAGAATCTCGGGAAAGTTTTGCATTTCATCAAATGCTGCTTTTACTGATCACCATCTACAACCTCAGACACCCACTGGAGAACAAAAGGCAGCAAAAATGGATTCCCCTCTTCCCGACCTGGCACGACAGGATATGTAGGATATTTTCTCTTCCATTACTAATAAAATGTCTACATTAAAATGGTTGCATTTCAGTAGGTACAGACAGTATTGTCCTTTTAATTATTTCCAAGCATTATTTTTAAGGCAAATGTTGCTACTTCCGAGGGCACACACCTTCTGGCTACTGGCAATGGTTACGGTACAATTAATCTTGTACATTAAAATTATCTCTGCTGTGGCTAGATCAGCAAAAAAAACAATGAGTCACAACTGTTAACACTTCAACAACATCTTTAAATATATATGCAACATTAGCAAGGAAAGATCTCTAGCACATTTACTTTACTGAAATTTGAATATTAACCGTTAATGTGGTTGTTACTGTTAAATAGTATGCCTTTGGATCATACGAGAGGCACTTATGTAACTCTCAACAACACAGCTAGTTACTTTTTTTGGGGGGAGAGACGGGGAGTTGAAACAGATGACTCTTTTTTCCTTCTAATTCACCTCTGACACTGTTCAAAATGCATTATTCATGAACCAGGTAACCGAGATTGCAAACTGCAAATCCCTTCCATTATTTTCGTACTCTCAACATTTATACCTGACAAGCACCTTCCCCTTCTGCAGTCAATGGTATTCTCACCATTCTCATCAACTCAGCGACTCCTTAATTTAAGATGCTGTAGGCTTACATCCAGCTAACGTGTTAGGAGTCTGGCCAAAATGGTCATTACCAATGTCTCTTGTGATCTTTCACATCCAACACTGAACGGTGAACTTTATCCCACCTACGATTGGCTTTGAACCTGGGTCTCTAGAGGTAGAGCAGCACCAGAGACCACAGGCTCATCTACCTGTGTAAGAAGCCCCCCAAACAAGCCATTATTTATGAATTTAAAAATGTCACTTGACTGATCTGTTCCATTATGCAATACACGATTTTTCATTTCTAGGGCTAACAGAATATTACATTACACATTGTCAAAGCCACACAATCTATTGAAGAAAGTAAGAAATTATATTTCTTTCTTGCCCATCTTGAAATCTTGCCATTATGTGTTGCATACCAACACATTTGCAAATGGTCCAAGGAGGTTTTTATTGAAGATGCATCTTATCCAAATCAGGTATGTTGTGAAGGGTTTAACGTTTTCTATGAATGTGTAGTTCTGGTGAGGTAAGATGTACGGCATGTAAGTGTTCTCACCTTGTTCTTGTATCCACACCTCATACTTCACCTCCCTTACTTTTAAGTACTTAAGATTCCAAGGCACCTGCCATGAAACAGACAACTTTGCCTTGTGTGTGTTATGGACAGTGGCCTGGCATTCTGAACCTCTCACCTTTCCAGGATAAATTACACTACTTGACTTAACCTTTCTGACAAGAGGCTTGGACCTTACTGCCCGGATAGCACTTATAAGTGATGGGATGTCCACGTGTGTGTCCTGATAAATACGAAACAGCCACTCGGGATTTCGGCAACATAGATGGCGGGGAACTTCTGTGCTCTTTCTTATCCGCTCCTGCTCAGTTTTATCCAGGTGTTTTATTCCCCCTTGCTCCCATGACCTATCGGGAAAGGCAACAGTGTTCTCTAGCTTTGTATTCTTCCAAGCAACATACTGGAGGTCCATGCCTGGAAGATTGGCCAGGGTTTTATAAGGGGTGTAATGCTCTGGGTTAACAGCGTAAGGAAAGAGTTCAACAACCAAAGCCCCCCGCGGCAGGAAGATTGACATCACCAGTTGGGACCCGTGCATGCTGACCAGCATGGATGCCCCAGATATAAGTCGGGTGAGATCTGAAAAGGAATAGTCATCTAGAGTTATGGTAATAGTCTTCATCTGAAATTCTTGGGCAAGACCCAAGATCAGTTCAGCTTCATTTAGTATCAGCCTGTTGATTGTGCGACTGAACACAACAATATAATCCTCACTGTTCGAGTCTACAGAAGCATCTAGCTTTTGCATTAGGAATTGCGTGAACTGCCTAATTTCATTACCAGATACCAATATATTTGCCTTTGGACCCTGAGGCTGGATAAATCCGTATTGGTACCAAGTTGTCATTTTTGACAATCCAACATAAGACTTTGTAAAGCAAAGCAACTTCCCAAGGTTTTTGAGCTGCTCCCTCAAAAGAGGCTGCTTGCTGCTAAATACTTTGTAAAGCTCAAAGTGCGAGCCTTCACTCCACCCCTCCATGAAGACTAATCGTGAATTGAGGTCCAGGTCTGGGAACTGCTGCATTGTATAATAAATTGGGAGCAGATCATCATGGAAAATGTGCATGAGGTTGTCAGGGTTGAAGCGATTCATAATCAATGAAACGTCTGGCACAAAGACGGGTTTTTGCATGAATTTAAGAGCACCAACAGGAAGTTCTACAAAATTGAAGTATTGTGTGTTGTGGTCTTCTACAGAAGACATATCTAACAGCGCAGGCTGAAACCGCCGGGATCCCAAATTTGGTAGCAAAAACGAAGCGTTGCTGTGGAAGAACACAAACTCTTCAGCTTCAGTGGAGAAGCAGAGAGACTCAAATCTGCAGATGCGTTCAGTGTGTATTCTTCCCGTGCAGACCATCTTCGTGCCATCTTCCACAAGAGCTTGGAGTGCTGCATGATAGTCAATCTTGACTTGGGAGAGTTCCTGACTTTGCTGGGACAGGAGCAGCTCTTCCTCTATGAAGGCAGCGTGTTCCCACAGTGTAACGTACTTCCACAGTACAGCTGCCAGAATGGACACAAGCAGAGCATTGAATATAGCTGCTATGTTCATTCTGCACCGGCTTGGCCTATGCATGAAGAAAGAAGTCCACTTCAGAAGGAGCAAGAAGATGAGTAATCTTTCAATCAAGGGAGAAGCGAGGACCTTGAAAGCAACAAACGAGAAATTATTAGCAATAAAAAAGATTCAATTATGTATCATAGAATCTTACAGCGATGAAAGAGGCCTTTAACCTGATAAGTGTCAGCCTGGCTCAGTTTGGCAATTCACCTCAAAATTTGTATTGTGTGTTGAAGCTCCATGTCAGGACTTTGCCAGAAACATAAGCCAGCATTTCAGATGTGACCCATCAATAGAACTTGGGGCCAAACAGTTCACACTGGAAGCCTTAAGCACCTCTCTCTTCCCGAGCTGCTTTTTGAGCATTTCCAACATGTCTTGGGTTCTCCTTCCCTGCAGTTCTCAACAAGTTCAAATTACACATTTAAAGCATTACATCCTGATCCACGGATTCAAGAGTATAGTATCATTGATGGAGGGGACAGGAAGCTCCCTGAAATATAACACATAAAGGAAAAGGAAAAGCTTCTAAATCGCTGTACAGTTCATGGTTGCATCTCACAGTAATGTTTACCGCAGGCACCTTCTGAGCCAAGCAAAAATAACCTGAACTGACAGAAAGAAATGTGTGCACAAAAAGCAAAATCAATACAATTACAGAACACGCACCTCCCCCTCTCCTAAGCAGCAAGACATTTAATAAGTTTGATGCCAACACTGTCAAGGCACCTTTCTATCACTGTCCCCCATGCCCAGCTCCCAACCAACACTGACACAAAAACATTTAGCTTACCTTTTGTCAAGCACTGAAAGGATTTCCTAACAGTAAAACAAAAGCTTAACCTGTTCTGCTACAGTTATAGGTTTGTTCATCTCCAGTCAGCCCTACACTGGGTCAATATTGCAATCGGAAATGTTGAACTTGCTTTAATAGCTGTCCGATCACTACCATTATCTCAGCTGCAGTGAAGGCATATTCTTGCTCTGAGCATGCTCTGCTATGATCTCGCTCCTGCTTTTACAGCTGGCTTGCCTCAATTTGTCAGTTTCCTGAAGGTTAGTGTCACATGCAGGGTACACTGTTGCAAAGCTCCTGTGACTCCCCAAGGAGCAGTGGCTAGGTAGGGCTGAGACAAGCACAATGACAATTATTTTTAATAGCAAAAAAAAGATGTTAAAGGAGGAAAAAGAAGCTGCACATACAGCACATAACTAACCCACAGCATCATTCAGACAGTGCTAAAGATTAGTCTCTCACACTAATGGACGTGAAACACTGTCTGCCCACTAATTGTTTGTCTTTAGTATCACACAACTTGCAAAAACAAGAAAGCTGGAATGAGTTTGAGAAATGTAACCCAAACATGAATTCAAATAACAAGGCTGTTTGTTAATCTAAACTACATTCCTTAATTGCTGTTTGTGGGACACATAAATAGCTTCCATGTTTGACAACCAAAGCAGGTACAATACTTAACAGTAATCGAGTGCGGCACTTTCTTACACGGTTCTATTCCTGCCTGTGCCATCACTATATTTCCATTTGCCCTGCCGTGGGGGCTTCTCATCCTATGCCCCCATCCCAGGGCTCTATCCCTGGTCCTCTCCTATTCCTCATCTATATGCTTTCCTTTGGCCACATCTTCTGTAAGCGTGGGGTTAGCTTCCACGTGTACCCTGATGATACCCAACTCACTGAACTCAATTCTGTGTCCGTTGCTTTCGGATTTCCAGCTTGTTTATCTGACATCAAGTCCTGGATGAGTCGCACCTCGGCAGCTGAATGTCAACAAGTCTGAAGTCATCTTTCTTATATTCCAGTTCATATCCTCCGCTCTACTCACTTGATTTATTGCTTACTACCCATTCCCTTTGCTCTATTATTGGTGGTCATGCTTTCAGGCCCCACCCCCACCTCTTTCCTCTGTCCCCCTGTGTGTCAACCTCAGTGCAGAGCCAGGTTTTGTAACTGGGGGGAGGACGGGACGATGGGTGACATCACCTTCCTCTCCACGCTGTCTCTGCTGCCGCTCTCCACACCACCTCATATCTCCTGCTCCATCTCTCTTCCAGTCACTCCGCACTGCGTCTTCTCTCATAATATGCTTGAAAAGGCACTGTACATATATAGACTGCCAGGGGGGGCAGTTATTCCAATTCTTCAAATAAAATTGGTCATTCACATCATTGCTATTTGTGGAACATTGCTGTGTGCATATTGGCTGCCACATTCACCCACAAAAACAGTCACTACAGTATATCCTGTGAAATGCTTTGAGACATTCTCCGGATGCCATACCAAATTTAAAGATTATTGGAAATGATTAACAGTATAAAACTACTTTGCCTTGCCACCTCTTTGACTGCCTTCATAAAAAACTGACCGTCTGGTTTACTCTAAATCTCTCATTTCCTTGTTTGCTACCACTACACGTGAAGCCTTTGAGCCTTTTTTGTCTGAAAGGTGCTATATAAATGCAAGTTGTTATAATGAATTATTATAAATAGAGTATCCCGATAAAAGTTATTACTTGTTTCATCTGTAGTCTTTGTTACATATATGATTTGCAGTCGGCTACTTCCATCCTTAGATTACTTGCAACAATTTATTTTCGTGTCATTCAACTTGAGTCATGAAGATACTAGATACTAATTCTTCTCACATGGTTTTATATCCTTCTAACTGAATTGAAAGGTGCATTGGGTGGAATGTAAACATTGCCTTTACCTTTGTGCATCAGCCTGGCTCAGCTGGTAACTTTCTTGCCCCTGCGTCAGAAGCTTGTGGGTTCAAACCTCACATAGGGACACAAACTCATAATCTGGGTTGACATTATAATGCAGAACTGAGGTAGTAGTGCTGCTCTGTCAATACTGCTGTAATTCGGAAGAGATGTTGAGCCAAGTTGTCATATGCTCATTTTGTAACCCATGGACATTAAAGATCCCACAACAACAATTTGCATTTATATAGCTCAGAACTATTCAAAAAGAGAATAAGAGTTTCTCCTGGCCAACAGTCCTCCAGATATAGAAACATGGATATATTCAGCATAAAAGGAGACCAATCGGACTTCATAACCCCAGAGAAACAACATCACTTCAATCCCCCCTCCTTACCTTACCCCCACATCCATTCAAGCCCCTTTCTTTGTTATTCACCTCATTGCTGTTTTGGGGATCTTGCCTATAAAAACTGTGTCTACAACTGACAGCAATTACCTGTGCAGGCCTCAGAGATATTTTGACATCATAAGATTCAATAAAAAATTAAGTTCTTTCTACATGCTTTCTTCCAGATGGGCCTACCTTGAACGCTCCCCCTCAATGTCCGTTAGACCTGTGGCCATTCTTCAGTTCGTGTTGGAAGGGTATTTCATTTAAATGGTTAGCCCTAGAGATTGCAAACTCAAATTTGCCCAGGCTCCTTTCTTAGTTGAACCCTTCATCCAGGTATTAATCTGGTGCAATTCCAACAATACAGCAGCAGTCTCCCCAGTTCTGCATTGTAGGCTTATGAGCTTGTATCCCAATTTGAGGTTGGAACCCGCAACCTTCTGACCCAGAGCAAGCTTGCTGCCAACTGAGCCAGGTGAATTGTCAGTGGACCCACTCGAAGCCCGAATTTCATCCTGATAGTGGGGCATCCAGAAATGAACAATACTCCACAAATGAGATCTAACCAGTTCACTGCACAGCTACAGCAACAATCTTTGATATTCTACAGCTCTACAGTTCAGTATCCCATTAGTATTTGGATTGTTTTCTGTACCTGTGAACACTCTCTGCCTGGCCACCGTGCCTCTCGCTGCTGATAAGAATTGAGAGCCAGCTTGTACTTTGGTACGCAGAAGCATTAAACCTAGGTTAATAATTTCCCTTATTGACAGAGTGTTCTTAGCATTCCATAAATGTTGTCTTCAGGATTTTATTGTTTAGAATGGTGGTTATGTTTTACAGAGGAAATCTAACAACCACAGAAGTTTATACACGTTTCCTGGTGCCTGGTAAACAGCATCACTTCCAAACAGGGCTGGAGTCGATATGTTCATATTCTGTTTGACAATTTTAAAACACAATTAAGATTGCAATGATTACGTGGTTAATGTGAAAAGGACAAATTCCTCCATTTCAGGAATTATTAACCATAGAAATCTTTGACAAAACAGGCCATTTGACCCATTGTATTAATGACTACATTTACTCCTCTAACAAAGTCACCTGTTCATCCTAACCGCTGCTCTTTTCCCCACATAGCCTCGAACATCCTGCCTCCATGTTTGCTTATATAATTCTCTTTTCAATGTCCCAATTCCTAGATTTTTTTATCCAGTTGCAAGCTTTTCAAACTCATCACTGATTACTAAACACCATTATGTGGCTGAGTCTGCTCATGTGCTAATCTGCCAATGTAAATACCTTATGCAGCATCTAATAATAATAATCCTTGCATTTGATATAGCGCTTTTCACGTCGAGAGGACGTCCCAAAGCGCTTCACAGAACACACTGTAAAGTGAATTGACTGTATATTTGTGGGCGAACGCGGCAGCCAATTGCGCACAGCAATGTCCCACAAACAGTCGTAGATTGAAAATGACCAATTTATTATTGTTTTTGGTTTTGGAGGGATAATTATTAGGCTCTGTGTGGAGTAAGGAAACTTGCCCAAGGTTTCGCCCTGCCTGGAATTGAACTCGGGTCTCTCAGGTCTCTCGCTTGCAAAGCGAATGCTCTAACCACTGAGCTACAGGACTCCACTGAATACACATCATAGAAAAGGGTTTCCATTTTTGTGAGGCTCAGTATTTAACACGTTTTCTCTTCAGTTCCCATAACAGGTTCAGTTCCCATAACAGGCGCAGTAAAATTGCTATCAAAGGTAAATAAATCCTTTAAAGGGCACGCATCAGGTTTTCCTTTGGTGAATTATTCATTTAGCATGTAAATAGCAGATGGTACAGGCTAACTGTGATAACATAGTCCTCTGGTCTAATATCTCAGCAGCCAAGTTACAACAAAGCACAAAAAGATGGCTGGCATGTCGCTGCTGAGATCACTTTAGTTAGATTAG